CGAGGTGTGGGCGCAACACCGAGGGTTGCAATCCCGTTGCTGGTCCTGGTCCAGTACGGGCGCGACACTGAGGGTTGTGATCTGTTGCCAGACACGAAAAAAGACAAAAAATAAAAAATAAATAAATAAATAAAATACATTAGGTTTTACCTAATCTTTGAGCCTCCCAACCATTATTGCCATTTTTAAAATAAAAGAAATAAATGGATATGGTTAGAAAAGTCAAAAGTCTAAAATGAAAAATAAAAGCCTCTCCTTTATGTAAAGGCAATCATGTGAACAGGTTTTTATATCCCTTTGAGAAGGATTTTTTTGTGTAAATTCTAGCATTTCTATGTATATACGGTAAATAGGCTGCATGCTATATTCCATTATTGATTTTGAGACAGGTCTAAGTGACTAATTGGAGATAATGAGGGGAAATAACTAATGTGAATTGAATTTTGTGTTATGAGATGGATCTATTTGAAAACATTTCTATGTATATACGGTAAATAGGCTGCATGCTATATTCCATTATTGATTTTGAGACAGGTCTAAGTGACTAATTGGAGGTAATGAGGGGAAATAACTAATGTGAATTGAATTTTGTGTTATGAGATGGATCTATTTGAAAAGGTCATGCACTGTGTACTAGACAACAATGTCTTGCAGAATTGAAGGTGTGCTTGCCCAGAAATTTATCTTCTAGATGTCTACCTTAGAGGAATTCACCCATATGTACAAGGGGACAGGTACAGGATTGCTCACTGTGGCATTGTTTATGATAAAGAGAAAAAATGGAAGAGGTTAATGTGTGTTAGCCGTGGATGTATAAACAAACTGCGGTCTATTCGTTCAGTGAAATGCTTTAGCTGTACGACTGAAGGAGCTAGAGCAACATCCAGAGACATGGATTTTAAAGAAGCGAGTTGCTGAATCGTATGTAACTACAGGGTACGGTTTATAGAAAGTAAGTTTGTAAACAGGTGGCTACAATGCCATTTTTTGTTTTGGATACATGCCTGTGTATTAGTACACTAAATATGTGAAGAGAGGCAATCATTGCCTAATTCAGGGCAGTGCTTACCTCGGACGAAGGAGCGTGGAGACTGGGAGTGAGAGGGATGGAGGGTGACTTCAACTACTGCACCAGTGTTTTACTTAAAAAACACCTAAAATGGGGTAAAGCTGGGTGGTGGTCTATTCTTTATACATTTTTTTGTATTTAAAATATGTCATGATTTTAAAGATAATAGGGTACCACTGTGTAGCCTAATGCCTACTGAGGAGTGAGTTATTCCATGTATGACAGTACTTCCAAAAAGTCCATGGAATGATTCATATTTTCTTTTAACGCCATTTACCGCAAGTACCCTCGTGTGGCAGAGATTGGCTGACTAACCTCGTCCTCTGCCTGTGTTTGTAAAGTTTTATTGGAACCCTTCCATGCCCATTTAGTGTAGCCTATAAACCTTGTAATACAACTTAGAAATTAGAGAAGACATTTTTCTAAACTTCCTATTGAAAATCATACTTGTTTTTTTATAAGTAAATAACAATAATGAGCTTTGAAAAGGATCTTGCACAGGTCGACAACATGAACGCCGGGAATGGTGTGAGACTGTTAGCATTACAGCTGTGGCTAGTCACGGCCCGATCCCGGCCAGCAGAGAGCAACGTTTCCTCGGCAGTCATGGAGTCGGCTTCAGGGGTCTGGGTCTCTGTGGCTCAGCTGGTGTTTCTCTCTGTTATGTCGGGGTGGGGCTGTCATCCCAGATTCCTCCAGGAGTGCTCATCTCACGGCAACCTCTTCTTCCACATGGCAGGTCACCAGGGGAGCTTCTGCATGTTGTGTGTCATGCAGAACCACATCGTCCAGGCCTTTGCCAACAGTGGCAATTCCATCAAGCCTGTCTCCTTCATCCGAGACCTGAAAAGTAAGAATCGGTTCATCACTGAGTGCCTGCTGGACGTTTGCTTGTGGTTGGGGCTGGTGAGTCGGTGGAAGGAGAGAAGAGTCATGAGTGACATCTCAGGAGTCCCTGTGCTGAATGTCCTGCATTCAGTGCTGCAGACCAGGGATGTGGTTTAGAGACTCACATGGGCTGGGGTTGGGGTAAGGCTTTCGGCTGGGGTGGGTTGTGACTTCTGCTTTGAAGAACAGGTAGGTTTTGGCATGGCAGAGGGGGTGGTTGTGTGTTTTAGGCAGGCTCGCAAGCGTGAGTGACAGCTGGAAGGGGTATAGAGGAGGAATGTGCGGGTCCTTCCTGAACTTAGAGGAGCCAGTTGCCACACGCTGTGACAGCTAGATTCCCGTTAGATGGTAGCGCCATGACATAATTACAGTCCATTCGTGTTCTGTATGGGCTCTTGGAAAACTAGTTAATCGGTGGATTTTACATTCATGATGGCACTGATGCTTTTCTGTTAGGTGGTGAGGTCCAAGCCCTTAGGTCTTATCAAGAAGGTACCTGCCAGCTGAGTCATGACTGTGATATAGAAAAGTCATGTGGGGCTCTATGCTCCCCACTTGCCACTCTGAAAAGGGACCATGGTACCCCTGTGAGCACTAGGAAGTGATGACATGGGGAGCAGGGATGCACTGTTAGAGGAGAAGGCACAAGCTCTCCCTGCCTTTTTCTTCCTCCTTTAGAGATTGCCCGGCATTTCCACTTTGGGAACCAGGAGGACGCGCACGAGTTTCTCCGGTACACCATTGATGCCATGCAGAAGGCCTGCCTGAACGGCTATGCCAAGTACGTGCTGCCCCTCCCTGCCTCTCCTGGAGGCTTTGGGCCCTTTTTCACCTGGCAGCAGCCAGCCGCACACCCTTCCACCCGGCCTTTCCTCAGTCCCAGCAGCCCAATGGAAGTGCTTCAGCCTATTTCGTTTAGGGTGTGTAGCTGTTGCCACGGACTTTTCCAGTCTTTTAAAAAATCTACTCTTCATTTTGATACACAGGATGGGGGTGATAGGAATAATAATGTCTGTATAGTGGAACTTAAAAGCATACAGGAAAATTTGAGGTTAGGAAGTTCATAATTTTTAAGATTTTACTTTGCCCAGCTTCTATTTCTTATTTTCAAATTTGAAAGTTTAGAATTTATGCATGTAACTAATTGATTACACTATGCCTCATATTCTGTCATGTGTGACACCCTCAAGAATTGTTTTTGAGGGCTGGTGGGTAGGTAGCTCAGTTGTTTAGAGAGCGTGTTACACACCAAGGCCAAGGGTTCGGATCCCCGTACTGAACAGCCGCAAAAACAAAAAATTAATTTCCTGTCATTCCCTAGGCTTAGAATAGAACTGAATCTTCTGAAAACACTTACCGTAAACAATTTAGGAAACAGTGTTCCAGCACCGTGCTCTCCAAAGCGAGCTAACTGGCCAGCCCACTAGAATGGTTTAGAAGAGCTAATTGAGTGGCAGCAACTGTGGAGGTGGAAGCAGGACGCTTCCCAGGACGCTTTTTCACTCTTCTGAGGGCTCCGTTGTTGCATGTTCTTCCCCTGCCCTGAAGGGGCTTTGGCCCCCTCCCTCCCATGCAGACACCAGCGCTGCCCTTGTCCTGTGCGGTGCCCCAGTCTCCTGACTAAGCCAGCAGCAGCTCTGCGCTGAGTGAGGCACGGGAACTTTGAGGTTAAAGACGTGGTCCCTGCAGCTTCTTGGCCTTTGGCTAAGGTCAGCTGTCAAGGTGTCGTCTTTGAGTTTGAGGAGCTCACAGTGTAATAGGAAAGACAAGAAAACCAGCCGTGTTTATGATTGCATGTAGAAGTGCTGTTGCAGAGGGAGACTGTGGATACCGCACGCACCCCAGAGGACCACCTCGCCTCCGGGAGGCTTCCTGGGAGAAGTGATCCCTGCGGCTAAGGAATCAGGGCAGGAATGTGGCTGGGCCGCGTGAGGGCCTGCAAAGGCAGGTGGGAGGGCGTGGCATTTCCAGCACCTGCAGGCGGGTGCAGCTCTGGGCACAGGGTGCAGCCACCTGGAGAGCTGTTAGGACAGAACCAGCACAGGGGCCGCAGGCCAGTTAACCAGAGTCTGCAGGTGGAGATACTTGGGAAGGGTGGCATGGGAGGTGGAATGGGTGTGTTTAGATTTGGGGCTGGGGGGAGAGGTCCAGCTGTGTGGCCTGTGCAGCGGGGTAGGTGGTGGTGAGCCACTCTCTGGCACAGAAGAGGACAGGCATGGGTGGAAAGGAGGGAGGCCAAGGCGTTGCTGGACACTGGTCCAGGGCAGAGATGGATGCTCACCAAACACTGTCCATGTGGGAGCTTTCGCCAGTGTGTAGGTGAAGCGTGTGGGGTGAGAAGAATAAGAATGTCACCATGCTGAGCGTTTCACCAAGCCAGATTGTTCCATGTAATTTCCATATGGAAGGGCCTTTTTTGCCTTTATTAATGATTTTTGGCGTTGCTCGTGTTGTGATGGGAGAGTGTGTAATATTTCACTTCATGGAGGTCGCTGATGTTTTCTCCGTGACCTAGTACATGTGTTCGTGTTTGGGCATCTTCCCTGTGCACTCAAGGTGGCATATTCTCCTGTGTCACAGTGTAGCATTTGCTGTACGTGTCCGTAAGATCCGCGTTGTTGATTGTGTTTCTTCGTCTTCTCTGTCTGTACGCGCTTGTCTCCTTCACCTGTTCTGTACTGAGAAGGATGTGTTAAGTCTGTGGTTACTGGTGTGCTTCTGTCTCCCTGCATCTCCTGTAGTTTCGCTTTATACAGGTGGCTGTAGTTGGATATTTGTAACTATCATGTCTTCTTTGCGAATTATCGCTTTTAGCATTACGAAGTGCCTTTGTCACATTTAATGCTTTTTGGCTTGAACCTGCTATGCCCAGAATCAAAATTGCAGACCCTGCCTAGTGAAGGTCTCTATCTGCCCCGGCCTTGGCCCACGGCTCTCTGAACACTTTGTTTTAGGCGTTCCCAAGGTTTGGTCTTGCTTTCTAGGTTGACTTGAAAGTCTTTTAGTAAGCAAGTTAAGCCCCTTCACATTTATTGTTAGGACTGAAAAGCGTGGTCTCAGCTCTGTCATATTTATGTATTGTATTATTATTTTATATAACGTATTTCTCTGCTTCTTTCTCTACCTGATTTTTCTTTGCTTATTTTTAAAATTTCTTCTAGTATGTGGGAAGGTCTGTGTTTGTGGTCTGGTGACTGCCTTTGTACATGTGGCCCTTTTAAATGCCCTTGCTTCTGTGGTCTCAGCCCTGACTGTCTGGTTGATCAGTTTTCAGTGATATCTTTTACCTCCTTCCTCTTCCCTTTCTCCTCTCTAGCCATTTTAGTTTGCATTGTTTCTTTTTTTGTTGGAACATACTGGATTTGTGTATTTTTCTCGCAGTAACCTGTACTTCACAGTGCCCGTGCCCTGCGCCCCCTGCCGTGCTTCTGCCAGAGCTTCCGGCTGCTCTCGGCTGGGTGAAGCCTGTCCCCTAGTGGACTCCTCAAGGAGGACAAAAGTCTGCAGGATTCCCTGTGTTTGAGAAGGCTGCGGCCAGTTTCACTCTCTTGACCTTGTAAATTATTTGCTCTTTCTGCTTAGGGCCTGAGGATTATTATTATTTTTAATCTTTAAGTCTAATGGTTTTACTAGGCTAGTCTTGGAGCTGATTGTTGTTGGCCAATTTTCCCAGATGCCTGGTAGGTTCTTGAATATGTCCATTCAGATTTTCCCCCCTACCCCCACCCCAGTCCCCTGACCAATGACAGAGGTAGAATCTGTGGCATAGATTGACTCTGGAAGCTTGTAGGCAGAAAAACGTTTTTATTAGCCTAAGAGCCAGCCTGCAGCAAGAGGCAAGTAGCGTGTGAACACCGTCACTTTGGGGGTTGACTCAGCTTTAAATCTCATGGCTTAGAAAGGTGAGACAGTACTTAAGGCAAACCTCATACGTCAGGGTGTCAGGCTGCCAAATGTGGCGTCTCCTTTGTGAAACTGATACAGTTAATTTATCTGTTGCCAGGGAAAGTGATCTTTCTTTGGTGGCATTCAGCGCTGATTGGGAAGTCGCTCTTATGTGGGAACACGCACTGGTGGTGTTCTGTTGGTTTGTTGTAAAGACCTTTTTGGTGGTTCTGGAAGCTTTTCCTATGTTGTAGTTTCTTTACTTTTTCGGGGTCTCCAGTTATTACCGTCTCTCATTTCAGCTGCTCTCCTGGTTCCTTCCTTCTTTGTCTCCTTTTCCTTCTCTGCTTGCGTCCTTGCCTCGCAGTTGGTGCCCGCGTTGCGTTTCCATGTGAAGCGTTCTTCCCGGGCCGCTCACGCTTCAGACTTCTCACCTTTGAAGATTCTGTCTTTTCCTTCCATTTCTTAACTGAGTTCTATTCACTTTTGGGGGGGTCTTTTTAATTTTTAGTCTCTGAATTTCTTATTCAGAATGGTTTCTCATATCCCTTTTTGTTGTTGGAGAACATTCAGTCCAGGTCGGAATTTCGTGCGGCCATTTTCTTTGGTTTGTGCTTGTTTTCTGGGGGGTCGTGTTCAGCCGGTGCAGTGTTACTATTTTCTACTAAAGCGCCTTTGCGCAGATATAGGTGGGCTGCTTTCATTTATCTTGTGGATCTGGAGGTTTCAAGCACGCCGCCTCTGTCAGCACAGCGAAGTACACTTGCTTTAATGGATGACCCTTTCTGGGGAGGCAGAAGGGTCGCGTAGCCTCTGGTAGTTTTGGGGTTTTCTTCAGGATCCTAAATTTTCTCTTTTGCTTTTCTTGCCATCCACCGCCCAGTCTCCTGGGGACGCCTGCCTGCTTTTTGGCTTCTCTTCTAAGAACCATGCCTTTGGGGACGGCCACCTCCACCGTGTTGCCCCTTGGGCATCCTTGCGGCTGTGCTCTCAGGAGACGCTCAGGCCTGCCCCAGCTTTGCCCTTCCTCCCTCTCTTGGTGTCCCCAGGCCTCACGCCTGCGGGAATCTGAAGTTACTGTCTCCCCTGCTGGTCATGTAACAGCTGAGCTTCCTCTGCTTGGGGTCACACTGAGAGTGGGTTCTACAGGGTTCTGTTGGCTCTGGTTATAACTGGCTCCTGGATGATTTGGGGCATCAGCATTTCGGCAGGTGCCATCACCTGTGGCTACCCACAGATTTTCATTCTGTTCTGTGACTGCGTCCTTGCTAGTTTTGGGAATTAAAGTGTCTCTTCCTTTGATGAATGATGATGATAGTGGGTGGTGGCAGATGATTTTTCATTTCCTAACTCTGCAAAATATGTGGTGACCCTGTGTTAGTCCCCCAAATATCTTGGAGCCCCCAGAGTCTGGGAAGTGGGTCACACAGACTGGACAGAGGCAGGGGTTGGCACCCTCCAGTGGGCTGCGGGTTGTGGTGAAGCCACATGGGGTGGCGTTGCCCAGGTGGCCGCTGGGAGCATGCAGAGAGCCCTAGAAGCAGCCTGATGTGGTTCCAGGTGGAGCCGGAGGGAGCAGCTGGGGCGTGGGGGTAGAGAGCCTAGGAAGGGGGATGCTTGTCTCCAGGGAATGGGCTGCATCGTGTCAATGCCACGTCTTCTAGTAAAAAGGCTCCGAAGCCAGCAGGATTTGCCTCCTGGAGGTCTTTGGTGACTGAGGAAGACAGTTTCAGAGGAGTGAGTTGGAACCACATACAGTGGGTGAAAACATGGAACAGAAACCGGATGTGGAGTATTGTTTCCAGAAACTTCCTGCCATGAATAGCTACCTTAGGAGGCCCCACACACTCTTGGCAGTTCTAAGGGCTGAGCATCAAGGGCACTGGAGAACCCAGCTTGTAAGTGGTGCTGGGGAATTGCAATGCGGTGCTGCCTGACCCTGAGGTCCCTGCCATGGCCCTGCCACCTCTACTGCAAAGATGTGGGGGGCTTGTTCCTGCTCCCCCAACACCTCCCTGTGTCCTCCCATGTGGAGGCTGGCTGTGTGCTGGCCAGTGGAGAAGCAGGCCCATGGGGGCAGGACCCGGAGGTGGGGGCCACTACGGCTCAGGGAAGGGCTGGCTCCAGCCCCACCCCACTTCTTTTATTGAGATTGGAAGGAAAGGGAAAGATGGGGTGAGGACACAGTGCCATCTCATGGGCCTTTTATTTTCTGTAAAGTGGATGCAAGATTATCTGTTGGGTTGGGGGAGTCATGAAAGTTTGAAGTGGCTGTTGTGGGGGGTGGTGCAGGGAGAGACCAGCAGGCCATGGTGGGGGCCCGCAGAGGAGTCAGATGGAGGGTGTATGGCTGCTTGTGGTTGGGTGGTGGCATTTCCTGGCATCACACTGAGCTGGTGGCTGGATGGGGCTGGAGGTGCAAATGCCACTTTGTGGTGTCCTGCCATTGTCCTGAAGGTTGTGGCTTCCTTTCCAGGTTGGATCGTCAAACACAGGCTACTACGTTGGTCCATCAGATTTTTGGAGGGTATCTCAGATCGCGTGGTAAGTGGAGACGTTTTCTCTGCCCCTCCTTATCAGGGTTAGTGTATTAACACAGGAAACCTTAGGAGCTCAGGTGCAGGCCGGGTTCCTTACTGGCTGTGTAGACCGGGGCAGGCCTGAGCCTTGGCTTGCTCTCTGGAGACTTGTCACCTCCTGGTACACCTTTGCTGGTTGTTAGGATGTCCTATGAGACAGTCTGGAGAACAGCATCACGCTTGTGTGAAGGGACGCTGGCACCAGCGCTACCATGGTAGCGAGGCCTGGGAGGGGAGGCGTTGACAGCTGTCACATGTACTCTGGGGTGAAGGAGAGTCTCTCCAGATTCTGTGGTTCTCGGTGAGGTTTTGCTGTTTGGCAAAAGCCCAGTGAGAGGATACATTCCCAGTTCTAGGTCTTGGGAACTGGGGGCATCCCCGGGAGGGTGCAGCTGCCCGGCCACACCCGCTCCACCTCCTCTTTGTTCTGTTGCAGTGAAGTGCTCGGTGTGCAAGAGCGTCTCGGACACCTATGACCCCTACCTGGACATTGCGCTGGAGATTCGGGTACAGACCAGGAGCCTGCCATGTGTTTGCATTGGGAGAGTGAGGCAGGGGGCTGAACAGCTCAATATAGATGCACAATCAGAGTAGATAAGGAAAAAGACGCTTAGGATCCTCCTACCTCCAGTGGAAACCTTTGCTTCTGCCTCTTTCTGTCTAGCCTTTTCCTGTGCATAGTCTTTTCATGCAAAAAAAATAAAGTAAAATGGAGTTTTGTGTTCTGAGGCATGAATAGTGGCCACACTGTCCCACAGGGCTTGAGGAGAGAGTCTGTCATGTGCTGTGGTAGCTGGCACATGAATGCTTGTGGGTGTGGCTCTGTGCCCCTTTGGAGAGTCACCCGATCTTGACTCCAGCTCTGTTGCTGTGTGCTGATTGCAGTGACTGGCCTGCGTGGGGAGCCTCCCATGGCTGTCGCTGCTTATCCCTGGAGAAGGGGCACCAGTGGGCTCACCACTCCTTTGGCGAGGATGTTCCGAGTCTCAGAAGGTGGCAACATGTGGGCAAATTTTTGTGCAAGTGAAGTTTTGTGATTTGCTGCCTCAGCCTGAAAAAGACCTTAAATCTGCTGTTTGCTGAGTCAGCCCTTCTGCCGCTGATTCTATTCCCTGTTTTTGTCCTTCTCAGCAAGCTGTAAATATTGTGCGTGCTCTGGAACTTTTCGTGAAGCCAGATGTCCTGACTGGGGAGAATGCCTACATGTGTGCTAAGTAAGTTTCACTTTGCTCACGGCAGTGGGTTGAGCTGTCCAGAAAGACGTGAGATGAAGTCACCTCACCTGACTCTGTTGTGCCCTCCCTCCCTCTGGAGCGACTGCCGCTCACACCTCTTGAGTGGCCTCTGTGTGTCTTAAAAACACAAGCCTCTAAACAACACAGATGAGTTGGTAGCTGTGGTTCTTACAGCCACCATTTATGCTGCACTTGTCACTGATCTGAAGGTTCCACGTGTATTAACTTGTCAAGGAGGGACTATTGTTGCCCGCATTGCTCAGGATGGGGAAATTGAGGCATGGAGAGGTGCAGCAGCCAGCCCGAGGTCACCCCGACACGATGTGGCAGAGCACGGGTTCACCCTGGACGATCTGCTGCAGAGGGTGGGTGCCAGCCACCCTGCCATCCTGCCTTTTAGATGAGACCCGTCCTGTGGCTTCCAGTTTTTACTTAAATAGTCTTGAGCATTTTTCCACTTCAGCAGGTGTAGCTCTTATCTCGTCCTTTTATGGTTGCACAGACTTATAGGGTGGATATTGTTACTTGTATATCCATGTCATTTTAAAGCTGTAATCACTGAAGGACATTTTTAATCCTGTTTTCCAAGTTTCTCCATGTCAACACACTGTTTTTATCACTCTTTAAGTTCATTTCCCTCAGCTCTAGAAGCTGCTCGCCTTTGCCTCTGTTTTCTCCGTCTTCGTTTACTGGTTTTCTGGCTTTGCTTACGTCAGTTTCCTGCTTGCCCATTATCACCTGGCCACATCTGCTTTAATTTGTGCTTTCCTGTGTTTTTTTCAAAGCGACATTTTGCTGCATTTTATTTAGTCTCCTAGTTGGTAAAGTAGTTTATTTTTGCTTTAGAATCTTCAACTTTTCTCGGGTCTTTGTTTCACTGCAATAGCTTTCCTTTACTTGAGGTGTGTGTTGATTTTGATTTTAGGGGTGCAGAAGGCATGAGTCTCATTAAGAGACTCCATTGAGAACTCCATGAGAACTCCATTGTTATAGAGGGGTCATTGCTGTTACTAACCTAGTGTGAAGACAGCACTCTTCACAGCATCAGCTAATAACTTTTTCATTCGCCTTCTTCATAGGTGCAAGAAGAAGGTTCCAGCCAGCAAGCGCTTCACCATTCACAGAACGTCCAATGTCTTAACCCTCTCCCTCAAGCGCTTTGCCAACGTCAGTGGGGGGAAGATCACCAAGGTGAGTGCTCTCGGTGGTGTCCCAGTCTGCTCAGTGCACTGCTTCTTAAAAGTACATATTCCTGGCTCTATCGCAGAGCCAATGAATTTGAATTTCTGGAGGACAGGGCCCAGGAATCTGCATTTTTTGGAAGATCCCTAAATGATTGTTATGCTCATTGAATTTCAAGAACTACTGTCTTAATGGGTTTTTTCCCCCATCCTCTGCCCATACTTGGGGTATTCCTGATATGGAAGGTCACGGTTTCCTAAATAAGTGTGATGCACACTGGACTGTGTAGCTCTGACCTTTATGTCCTGTTTCATGTCTAAAACAGGTGCAATTACATGCTGTGGCTTTTTACGGCATATAGAGTAAAAATCTTTTTGCACAATGGCATTTTAATAGAAGATGTCTGTGTTTATAAAAGTCTAGAGTTTTGTTCTTAGTTGGAGCCTGGTTGTGTGAGCCTCAGTTTCCTCACTAGCAGTGGTTGGGGCTTGCCTAGATCAGCATTTCCCAAATGTGTCTGCAGAATGGCAGTGCTGTATTTTGAAAGAAAGTATTCCATGTGCAACTGAGTTTAGAAGTGCCAGGCTAAAGTTAGAAAGTTCTTTCTAGTCTCAGGCGCCCTCTCAGAGCCTTTGTTAAGCCATGTTGTGTTATGAATCCCTAAGAGGAGAATTTACCACGACAAAGTTTCTGAACATAACTGTCTGAGGAGTCACTCATTCGCTCATCTTACCAGTGCTTCTCATGTGTGTCCACGTTGTGCCTGCTGTGCAAGGCATGGGGATCAACGGTGAATAAGATCATTGTGGTTTTGCCTTGAGGAGCATATGTTTTACCTACTAACATCTCCTGGAACTAGTTTTCCAGTGGAACTCAGTTTGAGAAACATTGGTCTGATTGATTTGGGGGGTACCATACGTAACAAGGTTGGGTTGGAGCTCATGAGCCTGTAGCACATACTGGGTTTTGAGATTTTCAGTTTGTCAGTAGAAGGAAAAAGATATGTGGGAGATCTCACAGACATTGCGTTGGTCTAAAGAAGCCAGACACAGAAAGTCCACACTGTGTGATTCCAGTCACATGAAGTTCAAGATCAGACAAGACAAATCGATGGCGACAGCATTTGGAACACTGGGTGCTGGAGATGGGGGCGATGACTGGGACAGGAGGGAATTTTCTGGGTTGATGTTCTGTGTCTTGATTGGAGCCTGGCTTCCATCAGTATTCGTTTGTCAGAACTCATTGAACTGCACACCTGAGATCTATGCACTTCACTCTGTAAAATATACTTCAGTTTTAAATAAGGATTTATGTGTACAGGCAGAAGTGCTGGTGTATCTCTTATTCAAAAATAATTTTTATAAATATATTTTCCTATGAAAATGTTCAATTTCTAGAATACATAAATTTTGCCACAACCTTTGTTTTGACCCAATCCATTACAAATGTAACTTCCTGTAGCAGTTGCTGTATTGATTCTGCTCCTTGTTTCTGAAGACCTGAAGCGAGCATTATCTCACGGCTCCCCCCGCAACGGCGCTCCTGTAGAGTGGAGGGGAAGGAAATGAGTTACTCTGCTCAGTTGACAGTTGGGAGCAGGGTAGTGAGAGAACTAATGTAGATGCACAGCAAAGACAAGAGCAAGAACCCTAGAACTGTAGCTTGCTTGATGGGACAATGACATAGAGTTTCCCGTGGATCAGCTGGAAAGGCTCACCTCTCGGCTTCTTGCTTTTTTAACCATTGACTGAGAGAGCTCCTGGCACAGCATCACTGCCTGCCCAGTTGCCCCAAATCGTTAGAGACGAGCCAAATCGGGCATGTTGTGTGGTTGTGGGTAGAAAGGGCGAATTGACCCTTACCCTCAAGGGTGAGAATTTTATATGCCTTTTCTTGACGTTTCAAACAGGATGTAGGCTATCCAGAATTCCTGAATATCCGTCCGTATATGTCCCAGAGTCACGGCGACCCTGTCATGTATGGGCTCTACGCTGTCCTGGTCCACTCAGGCTACAGCTGCCATGCTGGGCACTATTACTGCTACGTGAAGGTGAGTGGCTCGTGCCTTCTGTGCTGCTGCTCTGGATGGTGGGGCTGCCTGCTGGGGGCAGTTTTGCAGAACCCAGCCCAGTCCCACTTTGGACTCTGCAGAACACTAGTTCTGTGCAAAGCACTGACGTCTGTATCCAGGTCCTCACTGTTGCTTCTCTGCATGGAGTGGAAAGATGTTTTTGAGAACCCATTCCACCAGAATCTGTAATATTGTTGGACTTGCAGTGAGACACTGGAGAGGTAGCTGCCTCTGGTGCCTGGTCCTGAGAACCCTGGTGAAATCCCAATATTGGTGGGAGGTGCTGTGATGAGACCTGCCTAAATTGTGTCTAGAAGGGACAGTTTACATCTGTCAGGACGCTAGGAAGGAACTGGGACTCAAAGCACACTTTGGGGTCACATTCAAAATTATGCAAATATTACACGTTTTAGCAGGGAATCATTAATGGTTAGTTGTTAGCACTTGGATATATGTAGCAGCTAATAGCAGATTTTTTCATTCCTTTTTTAAAAAGTGAGGATTAAGGAATGTTTGACTGTTTTGTTTTCTGCAACACCCTGTGCCACCTTAGGCAAGCAACGGACAATGGTACCAGATGAATGACTCCTTGGTCCACTCCAGCAATGTCAAGGTGGTTCTGAACCAGCAGGCATACGTGCTGTTCTACCTGCGGTAATGTGCTCATGCCCCCAGCCCCCAGGAGCTCACACCCTCTGTTGTTCTCTTCATGCACACGTGGGCCTCCCTAACCTCCTTCTGTCTGGAAGTCACTGGGAATCCTACAGGAGAGAAAAGACTTGGGCAGATGCCATCTCCCCAGTCACGTGTAATGGACAGCTTCCACTGGAAAGGCCCCTTTTTAAACCGAGTCTGCCTGGTTGTTGAGTAAAAGCGAGAGCCTTTGGGAAGGTCAGGACGGGATCCCATCTGCCTCCACATTTGTGCTACTGTGAATGTAAAGGGAAAGGATACTTATCATTTTATGGTATTGCCTGAAATTACACATTGGCCAACCATGACTCCTTCCTCTGTGGGGGAAGCGATCCCTCTGCCAGGTAGGAGGCTGCTCTGGGGACCTACAGCAGAGCTCCTCTGCAAGGTGCCTTTTCTTGGGGTTGGTTGTCACTGACCTGGAGGGTGAAAGACATGGCGACTGGGGTGCTTTTGCATCTTCGTTGGGATGAAGCATTCAGAATCTCTTACTTTCTGGTACAGTGAGAATCTGATCTTGGACGAATCTGAGTGTGATTTGCTCTGTGCTCTGCTTACATGGAGCAGACGTCTGAGGCTCGATGGAACAGCTTCATGTTAGTTGAAGGGCAAAGTGAGATTCAGAGAAGTGTGTTAGGACAGTCAGGCTTCCCTCAGGCTATTTTTCTGCCTTTGTCCCACCTTTCTTAAAAAATATAATTGTAGGGCCGAGCCCGTGGCGCACTCAGGAGAGTGCGGCGCTGGGAGCACAGCAGTGCTCCCGCTGAGGGTTCGGATCCTATATAGGGATGGCCGTGCACTGTGCACTCACTGGCTGAGCGCGGTGCGGCCGGTCTCAAAAAGGACAAAAAAATATATATATATATATATATAATTGTAACCTCGACTTTAACTTACTCTGATTCTTTTTCTTCCTTTGACAGAATTCCAGGCTCTAAGAAAAGCCCAGCGGGCTCCCTTTCCAGAACAGTCTCCTCCCTTCCCAAGCACCCAAGTGCAGCCCCAGATCACGTGAAGAAGCACGTGGGCAATGGGGTTGCTTCCTGCCCCCCGACTGGAAAGGTGCTTGCTTAAAGGCGACAGGGTTAATGTAGCTGAGCCTCACACTTGTGCTCCTTGGGGATCTTTAACACCGAAAATATGAGTAGTTTGTACCAGTGTTAATGTCCTGATTTTGGTAATCATGCTGTGGTTATGTAAGAGAGTCCTTGTTATTAGGAAATACACATGGACATATTTAGGGGTAAAAGGACGTCATACCTGGGATTTACTCCAGTGGTTCAGAAATAGAAATATGTCTATGCATGTGTACATGCATACATTACACACACACACATACATGCATGTATATATATAGAGAGAGAGAGGATAGAGCTTCTGTGATAAAATGTTAACAATAGCAAATACCCTCAAAGTTATCTTTGTGAGTATTTGAAATTCCTGCTAAAACAGTTAAGAACTCAGTTTTACTAGCAGAGTAATGAGTGATTTCCTCTTCCTCATCCCAACCTGGTGATCATTTAAAACCAGATCAACCCTCTTTTGCTGACCATGTCCAAGTGATCCTCTCCCTGCAGACTGAAGAGCTGAACCCCGTGAAGGCAGTCAGGGCCTTTCACAGGCACTTATGTAAATCTGTGTTTCCCTCCTAACATTTAACTAAGTAGAAGCTGAAATTAGAAGCCCTGGACTTGATGTAGCAGTTACAGTACATGATCTCATTGCGAAGCTGGTGATCACGGTAGCCTAGAGCAGGAAGTTAGGACACCTCACTGGCTGTGGCTGCATCAGGGCGCAGAGTGCCATGCTGGAGGGGGAAAGTGGCCACGCGGAGGCCGCCCTGCGCCAGGCACACCTGCAAGAGTGCCTCACTTACCGCTAACATCTTCATTACAAAAGTTGTTTTCCAAATGCACACTGCAAGTGGCTAAAAGTAATTTTACTTTAAATAACATTGAGCAAGTTCTAGTGTATATGTAAACATTCAACAAATGAAAAGGTTTTCCAGTGTGATGGGAAGATGTACTCCTTTTAGAAAACAATGTTTATTAACACAAACAGAATAAACTATTAGAAAATGTAGGGGAGAAAAGAAAAACTCAGAAGAAAATGGAAGTGCATTCTTATCCTCTGGAAGAGGGAAAACCTTGTAAGCTTAAAATAGAGAGATAACATATAGAAAAACAAATTATAAATTGGCTTAATTTAAAATTTTGTGCATGTAATATTACAGATAAAGAAACAGTAAAACTTTAAGAATATTTGCAGCAAATGCAATAAAAGGTTAACATTTATAACATGTCAGGAACTCATTCAAATTACTGAAAATCACTCCAATGCATGTGCAAAGGGTAGGAATGCTGGAGTGATAGGAGCCAAACACAGTGTCAAACCACAGAAGCTTTGGGAAAGAAATACATGTTGCTGGTAAGAGTGCAGTAAATGCAATTTGGCAGTGTGCATCAGAATTTTTGAAAATAAGAATGTTCATAGCCAAGTAATTCCATTTCCAGGAAATTAGCATGGGGTTCTAAGTACAGAAAAAGCTTCAACCTTTTGATTGTTCATTCAGCAAATATTTTTCAAGCACTGACTGTATACAAGACCCTGAGCTAGTGGCAGGGGCTGGAGAGCCGAATGAGAGATACAGGTGTGGCCTCTTGGAGATTTGTGGTCAGGTGGGGAAGAGCCAACATTAAGTATTTAAGTACAGAGTGAGTTATTTTCCTACAGTTGCACTAAGTGTTACAGAGGAGAAGGATGAGGCGTATCAGCAGCTGGAGACAGTGGAAGTTACGTAAACTAACCACACGATGAGGCGGCTGCTAGTTGGACATTACGGGCATTTGTTGAGAGCATAGCCTATAAAACGCTTCAGATGATAGCACTGAGATAAGACTGGGCTGCAGCTGTGCAGGCCAGACCATTCATAGGAAAAGGGTTTAGGTGAAGGAACTTGGGTAAATTTTTTCCTTTATACGTTTTTGTATTTCTCAAATCTTGATGCAAACGTACTGCTTTCATGATGTAAAGATGGCCATAGAGATACATACCCACATGTACACAAGTCACAAAATACTGAAATTGGTTAAAAAACAGAGGGCTGGCTGGTGAGCTCAGTTGGTTAGAGCGCGGTGTTGATAACACCTAGGTCGAGGGTTCAGATCCTGTACTGGCCAGCTGCCGAAATAAAAGAAACAGCAACATTTTTACGCTGTATCCGTATAAATAATTTATCTTGATTTTGCTAGTTAAAGGCCATGTCTGCTACTAAGATAGGCTCTGACCTGGTGGGCGAGTTGCCTGGCTGCTGCTTCCTTGAAGGTTCTGATCATGCTGTTTGTTCTCCTTCAGCGACAAGACTCTGTGGCCATGAGAAAGCTGCAGACAACTGAGGAGATTGGCGTGCCCATTTCCAGGAATGGCTCCATGCCAGGCCTGAAGTCCCAGAACGGATATGTTCCTCCGAAGCCACCCTTGGGGTCCCCTTCCCACAAACTCTTCCCAACTCCCGCACACATGCCAACCATCCTCGATGAGCCCGGGCAGAAGGTGAAGAAAGCGGCCCCCCCACAGCTTTTCTCCCCATCGCTCACGACTCCTCAGGGGTCACCTGGTACCAGCCACTCGAGTAGCAGCAAATCCAGGAGCGGAAGGCAGGGTTCCTGGGACAGCAGGGACACAGTCCCATCTACCTCACCTGAGCTCCTGGCTGAAGCCACTGCCAATGGGCATGGGCCGAAGGGGAGCGGTGAGCGCTCAGACCTGGAGAGGAGGGGCTCCGGCAGCTCCAGCCTAGAGCATTCTGCCAGCAGTGACTCTGTCAAGGCCCCCCAGGCCCCCAAGAGTGGAGCTGCCCATTTCTGTGAATCTCAGGAAACAAACTGTCCCCCCACGGGTCACTCCAAAGTGCTGCCAACTGGAACAGATTCTAAGAGTGTGAAGCTGAAGTCCCCTGTCCTGGGCAATGCTGCCACAGAGCCTGCAAACATCATGTCTCCTCCACCAGCCAAAAAACTGGCCCTTTCGGCTGCTGCCAACTGGAACAGATTCTAAGAGTGTGAAGCTGAAGTCCCCTGTCCTGGGCAACGCTGCCACAGAGCCTGCAAACATCATGTCTCCTCCACCAGCCAAAAAACTGGCCCTTTCGGCCAAGAAGGTGGGTGTGCAGGGTCTCATCATTAGAAGCAAGTCAGTAGGGCCCCAAGAGCAGGTTTCCTTGTGGTTTTGGGGGAGAGGAAAGTTGTGTAGGGGCTTTGGCCTCCCTTGTTCCAGAAAAACAAAGTTCCCATCCATTTGCAGGTCTTGGGGTGAAGGTGGTGAGGTTTTGAAGGAACCCCGACTATTTTTCTTCATGGGGCTCATGGAGGTTTGGGCAAGGTAGCAATCCTCAATTTTTACTGTAGACAGAACATCCTAACTGAGCCCCAGAAGGAGTGCTGGGCCCCCAGGACACATCGCCTGGTGGGTTTGGGGGGCTGGCGGGCACTTCTGCAGCACAAGGCTCGTGAGGTGGGGTGACACGAGGATGTATTTGTGGTGCTGAGATTTTTGTTTAAATTTCCTTCCTTTTTTCCTTTTTGTTTCTAACCAAAAACACTTTTCTGATTCTTCTTCTACCATTCCCCCCCCCCCCCCCCCCCCCTTTTCCCTTTTTAAAATTTTAA